AGTTTTTCTTTTCCTTCCCCTGCCTCTGCCCCCTCCCCCCCGAATCGTTTTTTTTTTTTTCATTTTCTTTTGCAAAATTGAAATTTGAATATTGAGGATGATGATTATTATTATTATTACGCGTAATTTTATTCCGGGGTGCTAAATAATTCATGTGATAATTATTTGCGAGCACATATGCCCAAAATTGAAAACTTTTATGTCTATATTATTCAAACAAAAAAAAATATATTGTTTTTTATTTTTAATAATTTTTTATGTACATAATACATAAGTGTAAACAATAAATTTGAAGGTTTTAAAACTTTTTTATCCTCCTGTTTTAGTTATTAAAAAAGAAGGAAAAAAAAAAAATCGAACGGAAGATTTGAACTTCACGAATTGTTTTAATTTATTATCATTATTATTATTTTATTCTACAATTAAAATGATTTTAATAAATTTTTTTTGCAATCAATCAATCAATCAATCAATCAATCAATCAATGAGTGAGTTAAAAATTTAATTTCTTATATTTCTTTTCCCTCTGGTCTCGTTTTTTTTTTAAGTAAAATAAAATTAATTAAAAAAAATTTTTTCTTATTATTTATTTATTTATTAATTTTTCGAATCGTAACAAATTTTTTTGTTTTAATTACAAATTGATTGTATTCCCTTCACTACTGATTGTATTTTTTTTTTCACTACAATCATAACAATCATAACTATTCATTAAAAATTATTTTTATTTATGTATTTTTAAAAACAAAAAAGAAAATTTAAAAAAAATATTTAAAAAAATGGAATAAAAATTCGATTACGATTTAATTTTAACGGTTTCCCCCACAAAATAATAATAATAATTATTATTACTATTATCATAATTAATAAATAGAAATTCGTTGTTGACGTCATCGACGTTGTAACGGTAAATAAAATGTTATGATTACAATTTAAAAGAGAAAAAAAATTAAAAAATTTCACGAATTATAAAATTAGTTTAAAAAAAATAAAATAGATGGAGTTAGTGAATTTCAAAATGGCGCTCATACACGTCATTTAAAAATTAAGGTTAAAATTTTTTTTTTGTTGAATTTTTTTTTCGTAAAAGGAAACGTTTGTGAAAAGGTTTTGAAAACTTTTTAAACCACACAAAAACTAAAAACTTAATTCATTTTAATTGCGTTTAAAATTTCTTAATTGTTTTCTCTCACACACAAAAAAATAAAAAATTTCTTTTCAAGCGGATGGAAGAGAAGAGAAGAAGGCGGTGGTTGAAAAGCAAAAGAAAAAAAAACCTCGCCATTGTTTTTTTTTCCATCTGTTTGTTATACGAATAACAAATAATAAAAAAAAACCTCTGATTTGATATCTTTTATTTCGAACAAAAATCAAGACAAAAAGAGGAAAAAAGGGGGAAACGGGGTGGGTGAGGAGGTGTGTATCATTTATTCACCTTTTACCGTATATACAAACAAAACAAACGAAAAGAAAACGTACAAACGCACTCACGCTTATCACGCACAATTCTTTCATTTTTTTTTTTTTTTTTAATTCGATACAAACGATAACGTTAAATTTAATTTTACTTTTGAATTGCAAAACATAAAAAAAAAACAAAAAATCACACAAACTAAATTTCACGCTTTGAAAAACATATTAAATTAAACATATTTCATAAAATTTACGCCGCCATCTTTTTCATTTTTCGTTATTTTTACGTATAGGCGGCACAAAACAAAAAAAAAAATGGAGGGGATGAAGGGAAAAAAATGTTTTGAAATATAATTTTTTTATTTGTTGTTGTTTTTTACAGTGACATGGAGCGAAAAAAGAATCGTAAGAGAAAATTTACCGACGTCAGAACTTCCTGATCTTATTAATGAATTGAGTGGTACATTTCCACCAAATCTTCCAGTTTCTTTTTTAACGGAAAATTCAAGCACGATAACTGCGCAAATGGGTAGCACCGCTCTCATACCGTGCGTCGTACTTAACATAGGAGACGGTTTGGTAAGTTTTTTTTTTTGTGTTTCCGGTCGGGATTCTTTTTCATTTTCTCTTAAACAAAACAATCCTTTTTATTTTCTTTCTTTATTTCATCATTAGTAATATTTTTTTAATTAAAAACATCCGGAAAATTTTAAACCTGTGCATATGCACATCATTTTCCGCGTGTTTTTTTTTTCTTTCCATCTTTTTTTTTTTTTTTGTTTCAACACGAGAAGACAATCGATCGGTAGTTTTTTTTATTTGAAACCTTTCGTGAATCGACATCAATTACTTATCGAAAATGTCATTCGACATTGACATTTAATTCAATGTCAATATTAATTCCATTATTCTTTTTTTTCCTTTTTTTCCTTTTTTTCCTTTTTTTCCTTTTTTCCTTTTTTTTTCTTTTCTTTCAAATTTTCTTTATTAATGAAATGATTTAAAAAAAGGAAAAAGGGAAAAAGAATTTCACGAAGGTATATAAAATTTATGAATCTTCTCATTTTTTATTTTAAGTACTTTAAAAAAAAAAAATTGTTTCAATATTATTTTTAAAAAAAAAAAATTTTTACTGACACGTCGTTTATTATTTTTAAAAAAAAGGCGTTTGTTATTCTTATTATTATTATTATTATTATTATTTTCTCTCACAAATACATTCATTCATTTCGAACGCCATTTTTTTTTTGCGAGTTAAAAATAATTTCGAAAAAGATTTGAAAAAAAAAAAAAAAAGAAATTTTTCGAAAGAAAATTTACTAGTAGTAGTCCTTCTTTTTGTTTGTTTGTTTGTTTGTTTTTTTTGAAAACATAACTTTTCGTATAAATATTGACTGGAATACTAAATGACGAATCTTAATAATAAAAGAGAGAGAGAGACAGAGAGAAAAACATCAAAGAGGTTGGTACGTACGTACGCGGTTGGGTTAGATTCCATTTTATTAGTTAATTTTAAGACTTTGTGTGTTGGTAATAATTTTTTTTTTTTTTAACTTACAAATAAATGGTTACGTTAAAATAAATTTTATAAATTCCGTCACGGATGGGAAAATCCCACAAATTTAGTAAGCACACGCACACACGCACGCACGCAATAATAATAGTTTTTTTCTTAGTGATTCTTCTTATTTTTTTACTTATATCTCCTATTAGGAAAAATTTTTTTTTAATCGATCGATACGGAGAGGAAACCGTGGGGGAAAGCAGGAGGGGAGAAAGGAGAGAAAAACACGTGAAATAAATAATTGATTATCGATCATTCATCGATATTCGAGAAAAAGAAAAGCTTATTTATGAAAATCAAACGTATAAAAAAACTTTTTTTTTTTTTTTTTATTTAAATTTTCAATTCCGATCACAAAGATAATGTCAATCACCATTTTTTTTTTTTTTTTTTTGAAAAAAATCTCTTCAAATGAAAATGAAATTTTTTTATTATATATATAAACATACGTATGGATATATATATATATATA